GGCGCGGACGCGTCGGCGGCTGCGGCGGCCCAGCCGAGGGCGCGCCACCTGGCGAGGGCGGCGTGCGCCAGCGACAGGTCGCATGCGACCTGCGGTTGGTAGTTTGGTGGTTTGGTGGTTTGGTGGTTTGGTGGTTTGCCGCGACCAAGTGGACACGGTTGTAGGACGCACAGCCGGCAGGCGTGACATTGATCGCCAAGGCACGGCTCGTCATCCCAGTTCTGGGCTCCAAAGCACGCGTATAGGCAAAGCTTACAGACGCGGCTGCTGTGGGCCGCGCGGGCGGTGTTGAGGAGTGTGTGCAGACACTGGGCAACGAGCGGCAAGGAGTGGTGTTGGGGGTGCAACGCAACGGTGGCTGGGGAGGGCGGCGGGGGAGGGCGGGGCCCTCACCTGCCCGCCGTGCGCGGCTGCGTCCATGAAGCGCGCAGCCATGTTGATGGACTCCCCGTGATAGTCCGCCCTGGTGTGTGTGGGGGGGGGGAGGGGGTGACAGAATTGGAGCGCTACAAAGCTCAAACGCCAGGTGCGTGTGTGGGCGAGTCACATTTGTAGTTTGTGTTTTCCGCACACCCAAGCTACTACTGTACAATATAGACTGCGATGCACGTAACGACGCGGGAGCTACAGTTGCGGCCGCCGATCGCACGCAATTGCCTGGCGACCCGTCTCCCCAAAAGGGTCAGCTTGGAAAGAGAGCGCGAGGCGCTCGTTGTGGCCCCCCTCTCTCGCACGGCAGATGGCACGTGTCTCTGGTGCAACCGCCCCGCTACCGATATACGCGTTACGTCAAACACAAATGTGCGGGCCTCACCGCCCCAGGTGATCTGGGCAGATGCTCTTGGGGACGCCCTCCCGCAGCCCCATCTTCAGCCGCGGGCCCCTAACAAGGTTTGGTGCGCACGGATTCCAAGGTGTTGGACCTCCATGCCAAGTGTTGTCGGCCGCCGCTGCCGCCGGAACTGGCAGTACATGGGCCGCGGCTGGTCGCTTGCTGGGGGCGCTGCTCCCAGCATTCACCCGCGACCAGAGCCCTGCTGCTCGCCCCAAGGCATGCACCCCCGCCCTGCTGCGGGAGTGGGGGAGGGGTGCAGGCTGTGGACCGCTGCCGCGCCGCACCTGAAGACGACGCGGCCCGCGGCGTCGTCCTCCCGCCGGCAGCCGCGCTCCTCCAGCACGCGCTGGGGCCACGGCAGGAACATGGCGGCTTTCTGGGGGACGGGAGGATGAAAAAGGGGCCGCAGGGCAGATGAGGGTTGAAAAGGGGTGTCTGTGCTGTTGGATGAAAGCAGACCTGGGCAGATGGCGAGCGACGGTGTGGTTGTACTTATATGACATGTGATCATAACCATCAACCTGCACATCCGTGTACGACTCCCCTTGAGCGATTTGCAAGCATAAAAGATTGATGTGTTGCTCAGAGGCAGAGCCGGGGAGGGGAGTGGCAAGGGGCTGGGCTCAGCGGTTGAAGCCCTGGAGGTCGCGCAGCGCGCGCTCTGGAAGCAGCGGGGAAATGTGACCGTGGCTGACGCTCGTGACTTCGATGCAACGCGACGTGACGGGGTGGCGACGCACGCGTCGGAGGCGGCGGCTTGTGTGTTGTGCCGCGAGCGCACCTGCATGAGCAGGCACCACTCCAGGGCCGCCACAGGGTTGCTGTACGCCACCTTGGGGTGGTTTAGGGCGGGGGGAGACACCATGGGTGTGGTTGGGTGGGCGCGCGGCTCAGGATGGTGGGTGGTGTAGTGGCGTGCGGTTACCTGGTCAGAGGGTACGTTGGACGGGTGGGTGGATGCGCGAAAGGGTGCAGCGTTTTTGGGCGCGGGAGCGCCCACGCAAGCGCACGCTCAGGCGCGCGGGTGATCACGTTTGCCACCCCCCACCCACCCTGAGCCTCACCTACCGCCCTCCCCCTTCCCCCGTTATTATGTTATTATTGTGACCCACCATGTACTTGAGGTCCCCTTCCTGCACCCGCACCAGGTAGCCCCCAGGAACACACGACAGCACCTCCTGGAGACAGCGAGGAGGGAGGTGGGGCGGAGGGTGAGTGCGCGTGGTGCGTGTGTGTGTGTGTGTGTGTGTGTGTGTGTGTGTGTGTGTGTGCGCGCGTGCGCTCGCGTGCGTGCGTGTGTTTGCGGGGGGGAGAGCGTGAGGCTCAGGGGTGGGGGGATTGTGGGATACACGTGGTGAGGAGAGGGGTGGGAGTGAGGGGAAGGGGGCGTAAGTGCGATGAGAGGTGGCGGCTCTGGTTTTCGAACTGTCGCCGGTGCGCCGCGAGGGGCAGGAGCGGTCGGGGGCCAGCTCAGGTGCCGTTTGCTCCCATGGCGCGCGTGGCGCGGCGCGGGCCGCCACCCTCTCCGACACGATCACGCTGCCGCCAGGCTGGCAGCCGGCCTGAAGACCTCCAGGAATCACAGCGACCTTAAACCTGTGCCGCCCGCCTCGCAGTTCCCCAACCTTGTCCCTTGTCCTCCCTCAGTGCACCCCCTCACCGCGCTGTTTCCATCCTCGCCCTGCCCCCAACCCACCTTCGCCCTCCCTGCCTTCCTTCCCTCCCTTCCTGCCCGTGTTCCCCCCATGACATAGGCAGTGCGCTGCGCCACGCCATGCCAGCCCACCCCGACCAAACCAAACCCCACCCCACCCGGATGCAGCCCAGCAGCAGCCTGTGGCAGCGCCCCAGGTCAGACTTGCCGACACTCAGCTGCTTCAGCGAGCCGAGCCCCTCAGCCTGTGGCCGGGCGTTGATGGGGGGACGTGTTATTGAGATGGGTTGGGCAAAGAGTTTGAGGATGCAAGTGTCCATCTCTCATTGCAGGCGTGAGGGGGGGGGAGCTGGGGCGGGTTCAACACTCCTGACCGGGCCCCCAGCCGAATGCAGAAGTAGACAGCGGAGACCCCCACCACGCGTGTCCGGCCCCTAGGCCCTTGTCCCTCGCCCGCTTGCCGCCAGGCAGGCGCGCACGCGCGGGCCTGCTGACGAGGCAAGCCGCCAACCTTTGTGAAAATCATGGTCACTGCCGGCACGGGCGGCCGCTCAAGCACCCCCACCAGCGAGGAGCCCGGGCAGCCGCCGCCCGCTGCTGCCCCTGCCACAGGCACGCCGCCCTTGACGCTGCTGTCAATCGACAGCCGCCCCGCGCCGCTCGACGTGCGCCCGGCGGCCGCAACGGCGGCGGCGGCGGGGCGGTCGAGGAAGAGGAGGCGGCGGAGGGCGGATCGGGAGGCGGCGGCGGCGGTGGCGGCGGCAGATGGGAGGCGGGGGTTCATGACTGGGTCCGACAGGGCGGCTTCCAGGGTGCCTGGGAAGGGACATGGCAGGTTTGAGCAGTTTGGGAGGGAGCAAGGTGGGGGGGCAGCAGCAGTGCGTCACGCCGTTGTGATGAGGTCGCGTCTGGTAGGGCGGAGCGTCATGGTCGATTTGTGAGCCGAAGCACTGGCAATGACCAACAGCTCCGGTGTGTATACTGACAACGGGGCCTAACCAGCATGCAAGTTGGCTGCAACATGACGAGCTAGGTCGGGTGCGGCCCGGCGCGGCCGCGCGGCCCCCTGCATCGGCCGCGCCGGCCGCCTCCCTCGGCGGCCTCCGCCACCATGCGCGCGCTTGCGAGCGAATTCCCTTTGGACCGTC